ACTCACAAAATACACTTTTGAAAAACTAATGATAGATAATTAAACTAAATTCTATAATTTCTAATGAAAAAAACATAATTCCATAATGTATTGCTTAAGACATGAAAGAATCAGTTAAGGCAATATACTTCAGAAAGAAAACATTTCATAGAATTTATTACACGCAATTTTAACATATTATGGAAGGTTATGCAGGCCTGTCACGTTAAGGATTGAATTAATAAAGATTTAAACAATATAACAAAGCGAAAGCAACAATTTTAGCGATCGTTTATAAGTTAAAACGAATTTTGAATAATAGTTTCCATAACTATAGAAAAGTAACAACAAAGTTTGAATAATAGTATTAAAACCAAATAAAAGAGAGCAGCACCGTCCAATACACATATAAAATGAAATTTAGTTCCAAAATCCGCTAAAAGAGGCCAGCACTATCCAGGGAACACTAAAACGGAATTTAGTTTAAAAAGTTGCCATGAGATAGCAGCACTATCCAGGGAAAACGTTAGAGAACACGAAACTCAAACGTAGTTTCTAAAACTGCCGACAGAGACCAGCACCATCCAAAGAAGCAATAAAGATCGTAGTTCTAGACGCTGCCGCTAGATAGTAGCACTAGTAGAACTCCTGGTCGACTCGAAAAGTGAGCTCCTTCGACCTCCTAATATCCTGATACAAATCGACGAGTTTCTCGCTAGAAATTCGAATAAAATTCGTAGTTCCTATGTTCTGCCAACAGATAGCAGCACCAACGGTATCAGGACCGCCTCGAAAAGTGAGCTCCTGTTATTTCTTACTATCCTGATACAAAATAAAGATTTTCAACTCGGAATTATTGCGTCGGACGCTTCTGGACCAGCTTTTTTTAGTTTTCTTGTTTATTCATGCTCGAAATTCATCTGGATACTTCAAAACGTTCAAAAAATTTAAAATAATTCATTTTTTTTTCTTATTTCATCCTAAATCTTCAAATTTTCACCATTTAATAAATTTTATGAAAGAATTTTGTTTATTTCATGGGAATCTATCGAAATATTTAAGAATTGTTTGAAAAATTCAAAATGCTTCCTATTTTTTCTCATTTCATCCAAATATCAGAAGAAAATAATAAATCTTCTAATTAGATGTTATTTTCACCATTTATTAAGTTAATACTTTTCTTTCTTTATAATATTTATTTCTTATACTGCAGCTTGATTATCTTGTTTCTTCATGCTGCTGAAGGTTCAAAATATTTTAGAATTGTTCGAAAAATTCAAAATGCTTCCTTTTCCTTCTAATTCCGTCCAAATGTCAGAAAAATAATAACAAATCTTCCAATTAGGTGTTATTTTCACCATTTATTAAATTAATACTTTCTTCCTTTCTCTATAATATAATATTTCTTATATAATCAGTTTAATTTTCTTGTTTATTCATGCTCGGAATAGATCAAAATATTCAAATTGTTCAACATTCCTTTTTTCTATTTCGTCCAAATATCAGAAAAATAATAAATCTTCCAATTAAGTGTTATTTTCACCATTTATTAAATTAATACTTTTCTTGTGCTTTCTAATATATATATTTTCATATAATACAGTTTTCTTTTCTATGTTTATTCATGCTGCAAATGATCAAAATATTTTAGAGTTCTTCGAAAAATTTAAAAATGTTTCCTATTTTTTATTTCGTTCAAATATCAGAAGAATAATGACAAATATTTTAATTAGGTGTTATTTTTACCATTTATTAAATTAATACTTTACTTTTCCTTTTCTTATATTATATTATATATTTCGTAGATTAACTAATATTTTTTATATTAAATATTCATTTCATTTTCGCATCGTATTATATCTTATTCTGTAAAAAGGGTGATTCCAAAAAATATACAACTATAAAAAAAAAAAAAAACATTTTTCTAGGAAACTTATATTTTTGGCATTCTTATATAAGAAAATCTGAAGTCACAATTCCTTATTTACAATTTGGTAGGTTGTTAAGAAACTAAAATATGATGAATTCATTCTTTTTTCTTTTAATAAATATAGCATACTCAGTCAGTATGCTTAATTTATTTTATTTAAATAACTAATTAAGGATTTCATTCTTGTTAGCTGGGTAAATTATGGAGTAAAATTGAAAAGGGAAAGGAATAGAAGGATTTGGCTAAGGGAATTCTTCAGGATTTAAAGAAGAAAAATAGAATAATTATTTTTTTTTAAATACATTTATTTGAAACAAAATACATCGAATCTGACAATTACTGTACAGAAGCACTCAAGTGTGAGTATAAGAGCAAAAATATACAGAAAATGGTTCCATCATTTGGTATAATAAAATTTTAAAAAATTTACACATAAGTCATAAATATGCCATTTCTATTGAATGACCTTCATTACAAATATAACTTTCTTTTATCTTATATTATGATAAAATAATTTCAATTATTCATGGAACTGTAACTATTGCATAACCTTGAAAAATCTAATAGAAATATGAATAACTAACAAAATACATCTTTCAATAAAAGTATTATTAAATATAAGATTTGCTAATTTTAAGTTTTGGGGAAGATGAGCCCTTTTCTTTTCAAACCTTGTAGCAAACAACTTTAAATGTTTTCCTGAAAAAGGATTGTTTTGCTTATTCTTTTATTACTTTTTGTTAATTATACATACTTATCACCTCATCATATTAATTCAAATTGATGTAATACTTATTAAAATATTCTTTATTTATTTTATAATAATTACAAGTATTAAATAACATGAATAATTACAATACCAATAATTAAATTATTACAATAATGGGCTAATGATTACAGGAATTAAATGACAGGAATAATTACAATAATGAATTAAAAAATTAAGAAGAAAAGTTTTTGTCCAGCATGGAGAGTTCTTGTCCGGACTTCAATCGTTGCCCTGATGATGACGCCACATGTTTTGGGTTGAAACTAGGCAAAATCAATAACACATTTTTGACTCCACATCCTGACCAATTTTCATCCTTACAATTTCGACAGTCAACTAACTATATATCCATCACTAAAATACAAAAAATAAATAACATCAATAGTGTCTATAATGATTACAAGAATTAAATGATAAGAATATTACAATAATGAATATAATAATTAAATGTAATGAACAATTACAACATGAACAATTTTAATGGCTCTCATTAAATGAATTTGTCTTTTGATTCTGCCTTCATCATCTTAAACTTCTTTAGCCATATTGGAAAGTATGCAGTCTCATTCTGGTGTCGGAGGCGTGTTGCAGTGTTGCATGGCAGTGTTAAATTGTCTCATTCGCATTTATGCCATTTTTTCACAAAGACATCTCCAATCAGCAGGGTAGTTTATCATTTCTAAGCATTTTCTTCAAGAAGGTGGTAGAAACCAGCTAAATACCTAAAAAATATAATTTACATGAAAATATATTTATATGAATTATTATTTCATTATAATTAAATTGTTATATTAAATAAGTTTTTAAAAATTATAAATCATTTGTTAATAAATATTTCTGGGCAACTAAATACAAATAAAAACTTTGTTATTGTATACAAAAGGCTTTTTAAAAATGTATTGTTGTATGAAACAGCATAGAGCTTAGTATAAGTTCAGTTAGGCTTACTTTAAATTAGGTTAAAAAAATTTTAAATTAAATAGTATTTTGTAAATAATAAATATAATTATAACTGAAGATTGTCAATTCATCTATTATTATTTATTTGAGGAGTGGTGTGGTCAAATTAAATACTATATATTATATTAGTATTTTACTGGATATGCCTATATAATATTTAATTCGTCTGCACCCCCGATCAACTCCTCAAATTATAATCACAGTCAACCATCTCCACACTATTATTATTTATGATTTAAGATAAACGTACCAATAATAGAGAATATTCAACTTATAAACTGATAATAAGCTTTATACACCAAAAAGAGAGTGCAAATATGAGTATATTTGGAACTAGAACACTCAGAGTGATGCCTGAACCTCAAGTGATACCATGCCACAGTAGCCGATTGGCAGTTGATTTCTTGATTATATAAGCCTGAGGTTTGTTTTAAGGAGGATTCCTTATTACTATTCTTTAAGTGATAAGTTAGAAATTGTTATTCATTATTATGTGCTTTGATATTTCTTAGTTTCACTTTGTGAAGAATTTATTTATTTTTTTATATAAAATGCTATTTACGCTCAAAACCCGAATGTCTATTACTAGTACAAAATACACAGTCAGAATTTTTTCATGAATAATTAACTAGTTGACTAAATATAAAAAAATGTGATAAACAACTAAATTTGTTGTCAATTAAACCCGTTTGCAAAGATCCAGCATGAGAAATAAAGCTGTGGTTCAAATTAATGTTGAAAATTTCTCTTAAAGTGTCCATTACCAGTACATTTATCTTAATTTTTATTATTTATATGAAACAAGTCTTATTATGTAACAGTGATACAATCATAAGCATACTGGGATGTAACACCAGCATTTGCAATCATCTAAGATATTTAACCAAGATTATTCTTGTTTTTACATAATTTCTAATGCTTATTTGCATTAAGTATATACTTGATATAATATTTATGGAATTGGTAACAAACGCTTATAAAGTCATTATGAATAAATAAGATTTCTATTCAATAAATTGTTGTAAAAATAATTTTGGCCTTTTTATTAAAATTTTACATTTTCCAGTTCCAATTACTACCAGAAAGTTAGTTATCCACAGTTTTCTTTATTTTTAAGATTTTTTTTTCTAGTTCATAGAAATGTTTAAGTAGAATATTCAACATGACAAATTAACTTTTTTAGTGTTCTAGATTTCTCAGATGGATTGCATATGTTAAGTGATTAAGAAACATTTTATTTTAAGCAGAAATATTGTAAATGATATATGAAGTATTTTTTTTTAAGATCAATCAATGTATAATTAATTGAATACAAATTTAAATAAGTAATTGTATTCTTATTTAATATATTTATATTAGTAAATATATATTATGAATGAGCATAATATAAGTGGTTATTTTTATTTGTTTTAAGTGCTGTTTGTATTTTGCAAAATATATACTAAATAAACTTGTGTAAAAGTTTTATAAATTACAACCCAAATATACTATTAAAAAAATAAAATTTGAACTTCACTGTTTTTTTGTTTCTACCCAAATATACTCTTAAAAAAATAAAATTTGAACTTTACTGTTGTTTTTTTTCTCTTCCTTTTTTTCTCTTTGGTACAAAAAGCAATACAATAAAATTAAAATAAAGCAATACATAAAATAAAACAATATGTATCTCTACTATTATTTGCATTCCTGTCTCTGACCTTATCTTAATCCATGATTTATTAAGTTTTTCTTTTTGTTATTTACTTCTGTCTTTATACTATACACATATCTATATCTTTTGTATACCTGATTTAAATTCAACATTGAAGAAGACCCAGAAGTAGCAGAAATATATTGAAAGTAATTTAAATTATTTTGATTAAATAAAACAGTTGTGAGTCTTTTTTTTCTATTTTTCTTTTTCACTGCATTATTTTTCAGACAATTGCATTGTTTTTATACAACACGATCACATAGCACTTTTTAGTTATAACTTCTATTCTACAGACCTAATTAAAAAGACTTAAATTTCTTTTCTGTGAGGAATTAGACCATGGATTAAAGGTACATTTTTGTTATTTTTAAGGTATAACTATTATATGTACTATCACCTTTTTAAAAATTGTCCATTATTTATGAGGCATATTGTAGGATCTTAGTTAATTTCTTCTTTTATTATTCCTTTTGTATTAATTACTTCAGCTGCATTTAATTGGATCAAGGAATTGAAATGAACAATATATATAACAATTATTTTATTTTATTGTAAGGTAAATACATTCATTGTAATTTTTTATTATATCTGTATATACATTTCCTGAATATGGTTTAATTCAACTATACATACATAGAAGTATTAGGTTTAATATGTACATTTAGACCTTAGAAAGTATTTAATAATAATAATAATAATAATAAAATAAAACAAAGGCACTAGAGCAAAACAAAAAATAATAATTAAATACTGTGCAATCTCTCTATAATACAGTAAAACATAAATACAACTTGTTATCAGAAGCTTACAAAAAAAATTAAAATCATATATTGGACTATTCAAAAATCTCACAATTGATACTTATCCATCATTCAACATATTTACAACTATTGAACATCATCTCAATGCCTTCTATATAAACAAATAAAAAATATATAAAAATGCCTCATTTGGCTATTTTCTAATTGTCTTATGAACATATATTAAACTTTTGAATCAATTAAAAACTCATATTCATTCAATTATTAAATTAAAAAATACACCTAAATTGTTTTGTTGTTCATATTTTTTCTCATTTCAGCCATAGAAACCAAAACGTTACAGACAAATTTTGTACATTACATTTGGCATTTTTATCAGGCTCTGATTTTAAATTAAGATCACCACCCTTGAACTCACAAATAAGTCTATGGCAGTTCTGGTCCCATTTAAATTATCACATTGCAGTGGAATGGTTTCCGAAAATTGTTTCATTTGTTGAACGGTTGGAGCGATTTACAGAGACAAAAAGACAAAAAAGTTGATAATAACTCTACAACTACAAGGCCGACAATAACATATATCACAATATCCATATGATCCTTGATTTGTTGCATGATTGTAGTATAACATCCCTGAAAATAAAAAAACAAAATTTGAATTTATTATAATCATAAAATTAAATTTTATTCAATACCTTAATCATAGCACATGAATTCTTATAAATAAAACACATAAAAGCAGCATAAATAAAATTGTCTTAATTTTTAATGTTTATTTATGTGTTGAGTTAGCATACATTTTTTCTAGGAATTAAAATACAGTAGACTCTTTTTTAACTGCTTCTAAATCAGCATTGCACTATTCTGGAAATTGATTGTCTTGTATATTTTCAATCTGTTTTTCAGCTCATAGATTTTTTTTTTTTAATGTAAGGACCAAAGTTCTATCTCTTTTAAATGTTAATTAAATCACAATTTAATATTATTTATTTTTTGAAAGCTTCTAATTACACCTTGAAATATGTTTACATCTAGCTTAAACTATGAAAGCAAACAACAAGCAAACAAAGCAAATATTTGTTATATCGTTCAATCTTATTATGTAAATGATCTTAAACAGCAGTTCCTTACTTCCAACTATTGATATTGAAGACAAAAAGTCGATAAATAAATTCAAAAGTTTAATCTGATATTATATTAATACAAGATATTAACTGTAATTCTTTGAAATTATTATTTTCTATGAGAACTTAGGTCATCTCAAGATTATCAGACAAGAAAAATTCAAATAAATTTCTTTTCTTTTTTTTTTACAAAGGCCCTTTGCTCATCGGTCTAAGCAAGTTATTCAATATACACTCCCCTCATACAGTAATTTTTGTCGAGCTCAGTGAACAATCTTCAAACAAGAAGACAAATAACATTATTATTTAAAATAAGCTGTTCAAGTGAAGAGGAAGTTATGTTTTAATTGACACCGACAGATGAAAATAAGAGCTCAAAGACAGTAAAAAAATAAAAAAAATATACCACTACAACCCATGAAGGGTCTTCTTGGGTTCAGCACTATTTAGAGAAAGTATTCTTTCAAGAACAACTGTACAGGAAAGTGATTGGACAGAGATCATGGTCAACCGCCAGGTTTTCCTCCTTAATTAATTATTTAATTAAAGAGTATCCAGTTTATAGAGGGTAGGTGTGCCCATGGAGGTCCCCCGTCCCATAAAAACTACTAGTCATCGGCCAGATTCGAGCCTGGGACTTTGAGCTTTGGAAGGCAGTGCTCACCCACTGAGCAAACTCACTCCCTCAAAGACTTCTATGTGTAAAGTAATTTCGAATGAAGAGAAGAATAGTTGGGGTGCTCAGTCAAAAAAGGAAGGCAAAAAATAAATTATAATATTTATTTTTTAAGGGTCCGAGGACGGATTGTAATAACTATCGAGGAATTTCACTCCTTCCGGTATGTTATAAAATATTCACTTTAATCTTAACCAGTCGAATCACGGAATACGCCGAGGAAATTATCGGAGACTACCAATGCGGATTTAGACGGAATCGTTCGACAATTGATCAAATATTTTCTTTACGGCAAATATTAGAGAAAAAATTGGAGTATAACGGTATTGTTCACCAGCTGTATATAGATTTTAAAAAGGCTTACGATTCTATTGACCGCCAGAAACTGTATAATATTCTAATCGAGCAGGGGATTCCAAAAAAACTAGTAAATCTAGTCAGGATGTGCTTGACGGAGACACTCAATAAAGTTAGAATCGGTAATAATTTGTCCGAAAAATTTGAGGTTCGTTCGGGCTTAAAACAGGGGTATTCTCTTTCGCCTGTCCTGTTCAATTTGGCATTAGAACATGCCATTAGGGAGGTAATGCGAACCGAGAAAGGGTTGGATCTGGGCGGGACAACATCCGTGCTGGGCTATGCTGATGATCTGGTACTGTTAAGCGAAGACGTTGAAACTATAAAACTAAATACGACAACGTTAATGAAAGCCGGTAAAGAACTAGGACTCGAAATAAACGTGGATAAAACAAAATATATGGTTAGCTGCAAAAATGGCGATACTACTGGTGATATCGATATAGATGGTAATATGTTTGAACAGGTAGATAAATTTAGGTATCTAGGTTCTACGATAACTAGAAAAAACGAAATTGAAGAAGAGATTAAGGTTAGACTGAAGGCGGGGAATGCTTGTTATTTTTCTGTGACAAAACTACTTAGTTCGCGCCTCTTGTCCCGAAACTTAAAAATTAGAATCTATAAAACAATTATCTTGCCTACAGTTCTTTATGGATGCGAAACTTGGCCGCTTACATTAAGGGATGAGTTAACCGGAGAGTTCAGACGGTTACACAACGCCGAATTGCGTGAGCTGTATCCGGGTAATATAATTGAGGTAATTTCATCGCGGCGAATCAAATGGGCTTGTAAAGTTGTTGGGCTTAGTAACAAGAGAATTCCTAAAAGGTTAATATTTGCTGTGCCGAATGGTAAGCGTCCGAGGGGTAGACCGAAGCGAAGGTGGGAAGATTGCATTAAAGCCGATCTGAAGGGACTGGGTTTGGACGGCGAACGGTGGAGGGAGGTGTGTAACAAGCGATTGGTGGTGTCGGCATCGAACCTTCGGGTTCGCTAAGCCTTATTATTATTATTATTATTATTTTTTACATATGCCGACGTTTCGACCTGAAGTTCAGGCCATCATCAGGGCTTTCTCCTTAAGTGTCAAAGTGAGAATGGATTCTGGTGAGAATTGATTCTCACTTTGACACTTAAGGAGAAAGCCCTGATGATGGCCTGAACTTCAGGTCGAAACGTCGGCATATGTAAAAAATAAATATTATAATTTATTTTTTGCCTTCCTTTTTTGACTGAGCACCCCAACTATTCTTCTCTTCATTATCCACGACAGTCAACCAATTACCAATTGTGTAAAGTAATTTCATTTGTAAAATATAACAAATATACTAACAAAACATATTGTCTCAGAAAATTATTTAAATTGGAAACAATTTATAATTAAATAATATCAATCAAAAATCACTCATTTAATGTGTTATGCTAAAGTTTTCCCATTCACAACACTTTAATTAAACTCTCTTCCTTCAAAAGAAAAACGCGTTAGGAAATCACAAAGGATTTAAAAAGGAGGAAAAGTAGAGGGAAAATCATTTTAAGTTTAATTCTCTCTTAGTTCAAGCTCATCTCACTCCGTGCGTGTAGAGCCTTTATATAACTAATATTTTTGTTTAAATTCAATAAATATATTCTATTAATTAAACAAGACAGCCTTCCATTAATTTTTAATATTTCTCCCAGATATTCCAATAAATAAAAAATATTTTAATTCCAGTTTATCTCATCAACATTTTGATTTTAGGAATAATAATCCTTGAAATGAATTCCTGAAATAAATTTTATGTCACAGCTTCACTTTTAAAAGCCTAATTATTCTGAAAATAGTACATCTTAAAAATAGGCAAATGGTCCCTGATTGGTTTGGTTGTTATTGAAAAGCTTTAATTAAGGAAGTTTTACTGAGTCAATCACAAAATTGATAATCATTTACGTCCCACAATAAAACAGGTTGTCATTTTTTTTATATTTTCTTCCACGAGTGAAACAAAATAATGACTAAGACAAAATATAAATTGGCTTAATAATGGATTTAAAACCAAATGTCAGCGTTTAGTGCAACGATATAACTACAATAATAAGAATAAAAATATGAAGCTGCATAAATATTATATCCATTTTTAAAACGTATTCTATGACTTATTATTAAAGAAAAAATAACATATACCACATTGAATTAATACAATTTTACTTACGGTCATAAAGTATGAATTCTCCAGTTTAGGATTTTTCGGACAATCAGGGTCTAATAATGTTCTGTTTCCATTGATTTCTTGGAAGAAACAGCAGGCTGGAGGCACAACAAGACCTGATTGGTTGAAATTAGGAGAGTCCTTGAAATCATTGTAGTTATCGACTCCGCAACAATGCATCTAAAATAATAAATACAAACATAATAATCAAATAAAAATTATTAAATTTTTACATATAATAGTGATCTAAATAGACTATACACAATATTAATTAAGATTTACTAATGTTAGATATACCACTGTAAATACCCAGGGCACGGGCGGATCTATGGTGGGGGGGGGGCTTTCGGGCTGAAGCTCCCCCCAAAATGGAAAATATAACCATGTTTTATGGGAAAAAAAAAATTTAAAAATACCACTTAAAGTATTGTTGTTCGTGTAATTACATTTAAAAGTACTTAAGGAATAACTTAAACACCATTTCATATAGGTAGTTAGTTTCTTTCTGTTTTTCCAAAGTAATTATCGTTATTTTTATGAAAAAAAAGATTTCGGGCTGAAGCCCCGCCCAAAATTAAATCCTGTATCCGCTAGTGACCCAGGGTGAAAACCGATTTACCAAGAAGTTTTGTTTATATTTTTGAAAATATAATGTGTTTTTATAAATATGTTTTTAAAAAAATATGAAACTTTAAAAATTGAGTTGGCCATTTATAAACACCACCCTCCCCCCAAGAGTTTTAAGTGACAATGAGATTAATAATGATTTCAGCACATGTTCCACCAACTTTAACATTATATCACTATGAGCCATTTAATTACATATTTTTCTGTTTTATCCAGTTAAAATGTACCATCAAAAAATCTGATCATTGGCGAACTAAGCATTAGAATGTAACAAACTATTATCAGTTGGTTAAAGCAGATGTTACTTTACGAAAACTCATATCATTAAAACTTATATCATTCTTCACCACACCATACAATTAAAAAAAAAAATTAGAACTCATTATATTAATAATTTATTTTTTAATTAAACCATTATGCCATTGTAAAAATCTAAATACCTTAATCATGATAAGATTGAGGAACTGTGTCTGAGGATTCTCGTTTGCATTATCTGGTGAGTAGTACGAAGTGATTGTGCTCTTTAGAAGAGTTCTAACTTCATCTTCCGCCTAAGAAAAAAAAGATACTTAGAAAAAAATACAAGAAAATTCCTTTTTTTTTCTCTTAAGAGACTAAACAAACTGCAAAATGAAACCACTTAATATATTATTTTACTATTAAAAAATAAGCTGAAAATAAAATTAAAATTGTTGAAGGTTGTATAATTCTATTCATCCGAATAAAAAGATATTTCAAAGCTTTTATTGTCAAAGAAAAATATGTAGAATATAGAAATAAATAAAATAATTGTGTACCTACAAATAACACTATTTATTCAACAAGTAATTTTTTAAAGAAAACAACTAATTTAAAAAAAATTAAATTGTTCCTACTCACTCTATCTTTGTAGAAGTATGCCATTCCAGCTGCTGTTATCTCCAATACTAGTATAAGTACCAGCAGGAAACCATACTGTAACAAATATTTAAACAAAATATTAAAACTATATTTTAATGCAAATAATTAAAATATTTATACATAACTAAGTATACAATAATTTTGTGAACAAATATTGTTGTAATATATAACTATTTTATTGTTGTTCATTAAAGTTTAGTGTATTTACATAATTTAATATATTATGACAACCATATATTTAAATTTAAATAAATAATTTGTGTTAATTATAATCAAAAGTTAATATAAATATGAATCTACACACAAATTTCTTATTTTACTATTAAATATTCTCACTTATTTTCCTCCATTTACACTTATTTTACATGATTGACTATGTATACTCGAGGCCAAATTGAAGTGAGTCATGAACTCTATGATTTGTCTTCAGTACCTCGAGATGGTCTTGTGTTGCATCTTTATGAAAGTCAAAAGTCATCCAGTCTACAATATTAGATTATATATTTTATACACAAAACTATCAATTCCCAGCACCCTTCTAATATCTATAATCCCCTGCTATTCAAACTCTTGGTCAGCTCATAGAAATAAAAATTTAATAGATAGAAATACATTCTTTTTCTGATCACTATATATCCCTTCTTACAGAGATTCTTCAAATGGCTCTTCGGGAATAATCTGTCCTTTAAGATACACTTTTTTTTTTTAATCTTCATTGAAATTCATCTTTTTCCATTACCAATCATAATATTGAATTAAGAATCAATTCATAGTTTTTAATGTTATTTTTCCCTTTCTTTCTTTATTTTTATTCATTTCAATTATATTTATTATTTAATATTTCAACTGTTATACTTCAATTTTATTTATATTTCAATTGTCCATCATATAGGTATATACTGATTGAATTTTATTACCATAGTTTTCAGCCAGGTATGTTTACTATTTATTTGTACATATTTTTTATTTTATTAAGGGGCCTAGTGCCAGAATAAAATTTGTTTTCTACGCTATTCTAAATAAATTGATACAAATATAAACTTTATTTCGGGTTTTATGAGACCCATAGATCTTTGATAACCTTTGTGAAGAAGGAATATTTTTTAAAAAGTGTATACTTTCAAAGAACATGGGATGGCAGTACCATAAAAAGTTTTTATATAATTTAAAACTGTTTCTATTGAAGGAAATTAATATTTAGGACTCCGTAGGTGACGGTGAAGTGGCCATTGTAAATGGCAGGGCTAATAACTGTGAGAAAGGAACAAGCTCTTCCTTCCTCAACATTACCGACATGGATAACTTCGATAAAAACTGTCTTTTATCATAAGCAACTTGGTTGTACATTTTATTTTTGGTGGAATTCTGATTTATTTTTTAACATTAATCAAAATAGTAGACACATTTTATTAATAAAAACAATTTATTTTAATTTTAAGACCTATTATTATTGTAGAACATTTTAAATCAAGCTGTAACGTAAGTCTGTCAATTTATTTGGTTTAAAACATACAGGCAGTAGATGTAATTTTTTTTAATGCTGTGGTTGTCCTAATTGCTTTCTTATTAACGAATTCATAATCAGTTTTTATCTTGATAGTTTCAAATTTCTAAAATAAATAATTTACAAAAACATTTATTATAAATATTTCAATTTTAAATTAATATTTGGGTGAAATTGATTTTATGTATTCATTCACTTCATTAATAAACAACTACATAAAATACAGAATATATCAACATACCACGAATAGATTCAGGATTTAATTTGGAGAGGGGGCTTCAGCCTGAAAGCTTTTTATATGTTTATAAAGCGATAATTATTTGGAAACTAATATATAAACTAACTACCTATAAGAAATGATGTTTAAGCGATTCTCGAAGTCAAATTAAATGTAATAACATGAACAATTATACTTTTAGAGATAATTTTTTCCATAAAACATGGTTGTATTTTACTATTTTGGGGGGCTTCAATCCAAAAGCCCCTCTCCCTCCCCACAGATCTGCCTATGCAACAGAGATATGAATGTAAAAATAAAAATAATCAGAAACATAAAAATGAAATTTAAAAAATGCACTAATACAATATGCTGTTGAAAAAATCAACACAAGTTTGATTTCGAGGATGTTAAAATTATTTACAAATAAAATAATAAATTCAGAATATATAACGTTTACAGAATAAATAATGCACTATTTTGAACTTTGCAAATAAAAAACAGCTAATTAAATTTTCATAGAAGGCGCTTAGAGAACCTTATGCAGCATTTTTAACTTAATAAGTGATTATTTTCAAAATGTAATAAAGTTTCCAAAGAATAGCATATTGAAGATAATAAGTATAAGGTGATTTAAAAAACAAACACATTAATGTTACAAAAATAAAAAACAGTACTTGAATGGGTCAAAAGAAAAAATATTTGGGGCTATCAAAACATAAAAATAAATAAAATTTAGCATGTTCTGCCTGAAGAAGTATGTTTTAAGAACAATTAATAAATGATTATGGTTAAAGCATGATTAATTGCTTGAAAATGATTAATATTAAAAGGCAGAAATGTTACAATAAAATTTGGTATTAATAATTTCACATTTTTTACAGCTTATAAAAAAAGAAATATTAAAAAAACTATTTAGTTAAGAAAGATAATATAGGAGAGGTGATTTTTTAAAATAAATTGTTACTCCAAACTGAATATTTATACAAAGTAAGTTCATATACGATTTAGAATAATTAATATTTTCATTTATTTAAATATTAGAATCATTAAGAATTTTCATTCCCAAAAAATTCAATATTAAAATACATAATTGCCATATATGATTATGTAGTTTTTATTTATTAGAGAATAAATATAAAATAAGTTATAAAGATAAATATTTATCTAGAATTAATGGATATAAGAAACACATTAGATAATAAAGAGGATTAATTGATAGACAGATAAGATATCATTGAATTCAACTCAAATTTAATATTTAGAAATCTGTTAAAAAGGAAATCTCAAAACCAAAACATAACACTAATGGGACAGAATGGTATAAAATAAATAATTATATTCTTGAATACGATAACAGATTTTTTATACAGAAAGATATTGTTTATATAGATAATTGAATAGTTTCAAAAGAGACTTATTACATAGAAAGGTAATTTTTGGGAAATGTAAATAACTTTCTGTATTTCAATATATTGCTTCGATAACAAAAAAAAAAAAAAAAAAAATGCTTTTAACAATATTTTTTGCTTACATTTACATCCCTTTCCTTAATGAAAAGTTCGGTGAAAGTTTCGGGCCGTGAGAGGCCTTTGGTTCAGAGCTAGTGGAACGACACCAAACTCAACAAGGAGCTTTAAGGAGGGTCTTGGTGTCAACATTAAGAAGTATAATCCTGGACTCCATGGGAATCATCCACCACATGTGCATATGAGCGGATAGGGAGAGAATTTGTTCATGGAGGGAGGCGTGCACATATTACAACACCTTTATATTATTTATTGAACATGTTTACTATATTTCATCTATTTTTATGTATTTCATGAATTAGGTTAGAAAGAGAGAGGACAGAATATGAGAAGGAATAAGAGAAATTTATAAGGAGAGAGAAGGTATAGAAATAGGAAATAGAATGTTAATTTATGAAATAGTGAAAAAGTAAGAAAAAATAATAATACATATTATATAAATAATAATAATTGTTTAATATACTCAGATATGTTTATAGTACCATATATTTGTATATTATTTTTAAGAATTGTCAAACAATGATTGATAAATATGCTGTGTGGGAGTGGGGTGGCTCAGTGGTAGGGCACTGAGCTTCCAATGCAAAGGTCCCAGGTTAGAACCCCGGCTCATGGCAGAAAATTTATTTATCTGTTTCATAGGCCGCGGGGTGACCCTGGGTCAGGAGATCCTCCTGGGGTACACTCAGCCTCTATAAAGTGGGTACCCTTAGTTAAATAATTAGTTAAGGGGGAAAAGACTGGAGGTTGAGTGTGATCTCGGTCAAATCACCTACTTGCACAACCGTTGACCTAGAAACAGTGGTTTCCCTAAATAGTACTGAACCCCAGACCCTTCATGGGTTGTAGTGGTACAGGTTTTTTTTTTATAAAAAAAAAATAAAAATAATAATTGTCTAATATACTCAGATATGTTTATAGTACCATATATTTGTACATTATTTTTAAGAATTGTCAAACAATGATTGATAAGTATGCTGTGTTTGTAGCAACCCAATATCATTGGGCAGCCTTTTATAAAAACAAAGTGATTATCTCTAGTAGTAGTAGTAGTAGTACATGTGTAATAATTTAGAATAGAAGACTTTGTGATAGTTTAAACATTTGTTTTATATCACTCATGGAAACAAATAAGGGTCAATTAAAATAAATTAATTTTCTATTTTGGTCACCCCACACCCACTTGAAATCGCTAGTGTCTTTCATTTCAATTTAAATCAATTTCAATACAAAACAATTACACCCACAGGCTTATCTACGGGGAGGAGGAGGGGCTTTCGGGCTCTCTTCCCAAAAATGGTAAAATGTAACCATGTTTTATGGAGCAAAATATAAAAAAATTACCTCTTAAAGTATTATTGTTCGTGTAATTAAATTTAATCAGACTTCAAGAATCACTTAAACACCATTTCATATAGGTAGTTAGTATCTTTCTTTTTTTTCCAAAGTAATTATCGTTATATATATATAAAAAAAAAAAAACTTTCGGGCAGAAGCCCTCCCAAATCTTGGATCTGCTAGTGATTATATCCAAGGTACCATAAAAGTAATAATTTTAAGTTGGATGGAGGCTACTATGTATAACTGAGTGTTTTCAATTACATCCAAGCACCCAACTGAAAAATCTCTTCATCATAGCAATTATTTACTGAGGGGATATGAAACGAAGATTCAAGAAGAGGAAAAAAAAAAAAAAAAAAATCTTTCCTTAGTTCGGTATAAAAAACTTTCCCTACTAACGAGATGGTTTTGCTTGTTTCCAACTAGACAATGCAGTTTTTCATCAAAGCAGCTTGTTTTTCCA